TTTTTGAAGTTTTTCGGCCCGCCCGGCTGGGCGCCGTCCTCACCCAGGTTTTTTTTCGTTTTTTTTTTTTTTTTTTTTTTTGGCTGGGACCTTCCCCTGGGCCTTGCACGGCCGGGCCACCCGGGAAAATAGGGTGACCCGGGCGGCCCGATTGGTAGCCTAGCATGTTACTAGCAAAATAAACTTAACAACTTTTGCCGCAGGGTCTGAAAAATATTTTTATTTTTTTTTGGATGTTTTTCCCTTTTTTTTGGTCTGGCCGGGCAAGTTGGCCCGGGCTACTCTGGTATCCGAATAGAGCGCCCGCTCCTAATTGCTGTATCTGGACTGGAAGTTGACCTGAATACAGCTATAATGACTGGGGTATCGGGTTGAAAACCATAGTAGTGCAATCTATTTGATGGATTATTTGACGAAGTGTAGACCATCTCTCACTTTTATCGTTGCCCCATTGACCTGTCATCTATGTGGGAGCAATTGTAGCATCGCGCTACGAACGTGAAGAACATCTGAGCGGATAAAATTTAATGTAATGAAGTCTTTGGGCTCGAAGGGGAGGACAAGGTGAACGAGGTGTGGCAACTATCTTCTTCTCCTGAATAGAACTGTACAGTCATTATCGCTGCATCCCTTGCACTTCCCTGCTTCTTTTCCCCTCTGTGGTCCTTCTGCTTGCCTCACCTCCACCACTTCATTTCCGTTCTGTGTTCCTTCTCTCCGCCTCGTCTCCATTCTCTCTCCCACCCTTGTCACCCTTGGCTCTATCCCTGCCGACACACTCTTCGGCTGGCAGACAGCTTCTGGGTGCTCTGCCGTCTCCCCCTCCTTTACTCTTATCCGCTTCAACGTCTTCTGCATCCCCAGGTATTGTATCTTTACCTCTGTTCCGCCTCCAACTGTTGTTTCCCCCTCCTCTGTCACTGGTGCCTGAAGTCCTTCGACATCTTGTAATCTGTCTACTCGCTGTCAAGGTCGTCTTTGCTATCCTCCTTCGGACGCCCATTAACGTTCGCTTTACTATTGTGCACACACTTCTCAGCCCACGCCTTTCGCTTTAACTATTGTGCACACACTTCTCAGCCCACGCCTTTCTTCCCTCTCTGTGCTTGGCCTCCCTTGTTCTGTCCTCCCTCGTTTCAACTGCGCTGGAGGTCTCAACCACCTTCGCAGCTGCCACTGACTGTGGTTAGTTGATCTAACCAACCTTGCCCATCTGTGTTCCGCAGACAGCACCCCTTAGCTATGTGAGTGGCCTCGTGGGGTCGCAACGAGCATGGCACCTCCTCCGTCGACGGCTCCACCCTCCCCCGCCACGGACTTGGTATTGCGGTGGCCCCTCGATCCATGCTGCTGAGCCTGTCTTCAGTTACCACCCCACCAGCAGGACATCTGAATCCTGGTGACTTGCATATAGCAACTGATTAATCGATCGCACGTTGTCCACTCACGGACGGAGCTCGACTGTCCGCAATGTGATTCAGATGGATGCCTTGGAGATTAGCTCGGCCATAGCCACAAAATGGAACAAAACTGTGGCAGCAAGGGTGGCCCCAGTGATGCATGATCAGAAATGGAGTGCGGGAGTGGGGGGGATGAGGGACATGGGAATAATGCACCTGGTCCCAAGTGGCAACAAGATCTTCAGAATGTCTGCGGGCTATCGGGCACAGACACTCGTGTGGACGGTTTACCTCCGTGATCTTTGAACAGCGTCTTCAGAATCTCTGTGGGCCATCTGTAGTAACACATGTCTGGAAGTTGCTGACGGTTTACCTCGGTGATCTGTAAACAGCGTCTTCAGAATCTCTGTGGGCTATCTGGTAGTAGCACATATAAGGTACAGACACACGTCTGGACGGTTTACTTCCTTGATCTTTATACAGCGTCTGATCGCTTGACAATTGCACGGCAGCTGTAGGCTTTCTGTTCTGCTACCTTGTTCCCCCAAATAGAATGTATGGTCGTTGTCGCTGCATCCGGACTGAAATCTGGCCAAAACACTGCTATAATTACTGTATGCTCTATTCAGGGTAAGACAGTAGTAACATATGTCTGAAGGGTACCTTTACGATCTTTATACAGTGTCAGATCTCTTGACAATTGCATGGCGACCCGATGCCTTGGCTTGGAAGGCAATCTGCTCGTTCGTATCATCAATAGCGAGCTCCCCACGTAGGGTTTGAACCTACGACTGATCGGTTAACAGGCGGCCACTCTACCGCTGAGCTACTGAGGAAGACTAACTGGGATGATCTCCGTGGGCACATGCATTAGGAAATAATAATTAAAACGTGGAAGGAGAATTTACGCTTTGTGTACGGCAGCTTGCGATGATGAACCACCGACTTGAGAGAGGCACCGTGCCGTCGAGAGCGAGGCCATTAGCCTCACATCCTTGCCTGCATTTTCTGCATGCCTGGCCACTACGACAGTAGATCTTTTTCTTTTTTCTTTTCTCTTTTTCCTTACGACATTTAATCATGGTTTCTGAGAACAGGAAATGGCCTCGTCAACGCCCATCTCGACGACTTTCCATGCCCTGATGGGCCATGTCGCTCCTCTGCGTAACGGATGGCAGCCCTACTGCTGCTACATAAGAAAAACCACCTTCGGCAGAACGCTCGCTACTGTCCTCCCTCACAGCAGGTGAAGCCGCAGCGCGCCAATGGAAGATGTTGGGAATCGATCCCATGGCCTCCTGAATGCTGCTTTCGTGCTCTACCAACTGAGCTAGGCCACCAGCCTCGGCAAAAGCTCATTTGATTTTGATTTCCAGTACGAGTACAAACTGCGAGAGCATGGCCAATCGATCCTTTAGCGTCTCAGGATTCGAAGCTGGAGGTGTTCAGGAAAGTTACCACATTGGGAAAGAAAAAAAAGGCTGCCTGGTGTCCGGGACCCTGATATCTGACTGGACGTCCGAGCTGATTTTTTGTCCGACAGCCTCAGACAAAGAAATGGTTTTTAGTTTTGATCCTTGACTTCATCCCTGTTTCTCGCCCCTCTCTCTCTCTCTCTCTCTCTCTCTCTTAAACCACTTGTGGTCTGTATCTTTGTGATAAATTGGCTTCAAAATTTTCAAATGTACAACAGACTTGAACATACTTGAACAAATGGTTGAATGTGGGGAATGCGAAAGCTTGGCCATCAAAAGGTTCCTGCTGAGATATTTTACTGCTGGAACATTGATAGACCCAGCTTAAAATGGCAGCATGGACGAGCCTTGCAATTATTTTTTTCGTTCACTTTCTATCACTTTTCTTGCTGATGCTCGAGTCAAACGACTGGTGCTTGCGTTGTATCCCTGACAACTTGTCCTTCTATTCCCTCCCCC